AACTTTATGGGTTGTGTGAAACAACCCAGAATTAACCTAACCACTAACCTTTATGTTAACTGCAGGTTGATTCAGTAATGAATAACTCAGGATAGTCAAGTCTGGATGTCAAGCAACCTCTGATCATGGCGAATAGAGGCTGCATGCACTGCTGAAAATCATGCATACATCTCAAGATGCTAAATCTCAAGATACCCATGATTGTCATTGTTATATGTAAATCTCTTCACTTAGTGCAGGAGGGCTTCAGTGTTGCTATCCTGGCATAAACTCCATTGAACATAACGAGACTTCCTTCTGGGGAGGTCCATATAGGATTGCCTTGCCAATACATATTATATTTTTTCATTTTGGTGATGGGAAGCTTTGTTTAGTTGAATCCTTTTAGTTAAAAATAGCAGCTTCAACAATACAAGAGGTTTTTAGAGTTAAAGATAGAGATCTGAGCTCAAGTACATCTCTAGCACTGTGTTTACTTCTTCCTGTCCAGTGACTGGGGCAAATTGCTAGAATTACATTAAAACAGATAGTTCAGTGTGACATCCAAACCCGAAGCCCCAGGGAGCAATCGCTACGAGACAGTTTAAGCAGCATTTTCATGCCTGGCTCACTGGCATGGCCCATGATGCTTACCCCAAACTGTCATTGTGGTGTTGTATCTGCCATCACAGCTCAGATTTCTGCAGAACAGCTCTATCACAAGATTTCATGTGCTGTGTTTTTCCCGTGTGAGTATCAGTGTGTGCTAAACTTGTGGTACTGCTCCGGGGCCAGGAGGTATAGCTTCAGTGCTCTAGGGGATATTGTGGGGAAGAGACGGTATCCTGCTAGGGTACCAGCCAAACTGCAGCAACTCAAAGGAGAACCTCCAGCTGCTTTCTAGCTCCCCCCCTCACTGCCTGCTCTCTCCCTCTGTGCAGCTTGTGCAATAAGTTGGAAAAAAATGCAATGCCGTTTTCCCTTTCTTCTACCCCGTCCTTTGAAAAAACAGTTTGCAACGGCTTTTCAAGCCTGCAAATGCACATCTACTCAGAAGCAAATCACATTATTTGCAATTGCTTTGGGTGGATTGCGATGGAGGTACAGATCCTGTTGGCTTCTCCCCAAGGAAGCTGGGAAGATAGCAGCGAGCTGCACCACTCCCTCTTCCCTCCCAATCCTTCTCTTTCTACATGGTTTTTGGTGAGTGGGCAGAAAAGTGCTCTTTTTCCTTAAAACAAAAGCTCTCTGTTCCTTCCCCTCCCTTCAGCAAACATGTGCACAGCTAATTGGGCTTAAATAAAAAGAAAAAAGAAGAAGAGAAACCAAGCACAAAAGCAAATAAAACTTAAAGGGTCATTTCCCTGCACACATCTTTCCAACTCTTTCTACTTTTCCTGCAATTGCGTTTGTGTGTAAACAAGACCATGTTGTCAATACAGTGCTGTATTCATTAGCAAATGCCCCAATTATGATTAATGAGTTTTCATAAATTCTGAACCTCTGCTGCCTCATAAATTAGTGATTCTAATGTAGATCTGCCTCTTTTTGTCTTTTCCAAGCTTACAAACTCTGGCTTGTTTCAGGGCAATGATTCAGGATCTTGGATTCAGATGTCATCAAAATCAAAAGCCATCCTTTCTCATGAATTTTACCTATTTGCATGAAGGGAGGACCAAGCGGGAGCAAATATTGCTCATTTACCCTAGGATAAACCTGGTTTACATTTACTAAAATAAACTTGGCTTCTTGTTATGCATGAATGCAGCCTGTATATATGTGATGATAACCACCTTCGTAAAATAACTGTATCATGCTCACATCAAACAGTTTGGTTATACATTTTATTTATTTATTTATTAGATTTATATTCTGCCTTTTCCCTTTTTTAAAGAACTGAAAGCCGCTTGCATCATTCTCCTCCTCTTGCTGTCAGTCTTATCCCCATAACAACCTCATGAGATACGCTGAGCTGCGAATTTGCGGCAGGCTCAAAGTCACCCAGTTTGCTCCATGGCTGAACAGGGACTAGAACCCAGTTTGCTTGAATTCCAGTCCCGCTTGCTTAACCACTGCACCACACTTCCAAATTTAAGGATGGAAGGCTTATAAATACCTCTTAAATGTGCCAGATAAAGCCAAACTTCCATGTATGAAGACACTGTACTTCTGAGTAGAACCTATCTTCTAAACTTCTCAGTGGACTCTACTGAAAACAAAGTCTGATCCAGCAAGGCTTCATGTACTGAATGAAGGTGCTGAAAACTTGCTTATTTAACCTTTGCATAAGCTATCCTTGCTGGGTTCACATGATACAATAAGCCATGGTGACTGCCTGCTGACATGCACCACAACTGACACAGTCACAGTGGCCTCTGCTGACCATGAAAAACTGGGTCGAGTGTGGGCCTTGCTACAAGGCTACCCAGTTGGTCTGTCCTATCTGGAGAGCTTAGTGATGTAGTAGATGAGAAGGTTCAGCTAGGGATGGGGAAACCAGGCTCAAGTCCCCATTCAGGTATGGAGCTCTCTGGGTGAGTTTGCATCAGCCACTGAGTGGTGAGGAGGACATGGAATGGGAGGACTGTGGACACCAGCTTGGGATCCCTGGAGGAGGAAAAAGGTGGGACACAGTCATAAGAAATACAATGAATGCAGAAATGAACCTACCTGTGTGGGCAAGTTTCAACCCCTGTGCAGTCATGTTTGTGAGCAGCATGAAGCAAGTGAGAAAAATGGAGGGAAATGGTGACAGATCAACCTTTTAATGAGCTATGGAAAAGCACAGAATGGATGAATAAATGTTCAACATTTTCAGACAGCTGATATAAATTCTGGAAAATGGTGGGGAGGATGTATTGCAAAGAGGAATGACCCCTCTTCTTTCTGGCAGAGCTTGTATCGTCTGCATTTAGAAGTGATGGGTGAGTTTGTGCCCCCGATGACCCATAAGGTCAATATAGACTGGTGCGGAGAAATATCCTCTATTTTCATGTTGCTTTTTCTGCAGAGCCTGTATTAAAACCCTCATATGCTCCCAATGCATAATGAACCCATAATGACCCTTAGCAAGCAGATGTGCACATCCATACTAAACCAAAGTGTGAAAAGCTGGATAATTTATTCCCCATCGTGCATTCAGGCAGAGACTCAAGAGAATTTTTAAAACCATGACTTGAGTTTTAGTGCTGGCTGCAGAAGTGTAGTGAATTGCAGTTAGCAGCCTTCAATCACGTTTCTTTTTACTTCACTGTTGGCTTGATTCTATATGCTGATGCTTTTAGACTAACAGCCTCCCTGAGTAGGAAATGAATAAATAAACAGAGGCACACAAGAATGTCGCATAACAATGCTCCTAATTTTCAGCTCTGTGCTATATACCTGCTAGGGGACTCAGAAAAGCTGCAGAGCAAAGGCCCATTTGAAACTGCTGACAAGTCACTATTAGGCCAATATTCTGTCACATTCCTTCAAAAATAAAATAATTTTGCTGATCACACAACTATGTATCCGCAAAGCTTGCAACAGCACTTCTCCAGGAGATTAAGGAAGTTCATTCCAAAGTACATTAAATTATTCCTCCTGCAATCAATTGTTAACAGCCTTGTAAATAAGCCTTCGAAAGTTACTAGCATGCAAAAAGTTTTACTAGCCTGCTGGGGGCTGGCAGAAGGAGGACAAAGAATGCTTCCTTGGTATATGCTTCATATACTATCCTGCTCACAGAATACCACTTATGCCTAGCAGGTTAATGCTTAAATATAAGGCTGGACTATTTGGCAGCATTTCTACAAAGTGCTAACCCATCATTTATGTTAACCATAGTTTGTTCTTTAGCCATGAACTAGCAGTTAGTTTGTTTCTTGTTTATTTTTCTCCCATCTATTTTATCAACTTTCAGAGGGTTGGTTTGGTTAAAAGCCCCTATTTCAAGATGGACAGTAGCAGAAACTAATCCAGGATAAGCCATGGTTCCAGATTCAGATATCAAAACAAAACTTGGTTTAAACAGGCAAAATTTCATAAGCCAACAATGAATCATGGTTTCTATTTGTGGTTGATCATTGGCTAACAAACCAGTGATTTGTTTCTGGAATTGGGGTTGGACCCAGAAACAAAGTAGTTTTCAACACACCACACAATGGGTTAGTGTTATGTATACAACAAAGGATTTGAATTGGGTCAATATAATGATGAAAACCAAATTCACATGGACAGCAAGCAATCTGTGACCTGTGCCACTTCAGACTGCAGACTGGAAGTTTGCATGCCAGTTGGGAAACAAAATACCTTAGCATATACAAATGGATGCTGATTTGGGGTTAGTTTTCTGCTATAGCTTAGGGCTTTAATTTTTATTTTAAATGCACAATACATTTGTTTCAAGAGAAAGTATTAGACTGATTTTTCCAGCTGCAGTCTAAAGCAGTAGAGCCCAGCAACAGTTCTAACACCTTATTTGCTGTTGGTGTAAACTTGTCCTGATCTTGTCCTAATGAACAACACACTGTTCTTAGAAACAAAACAGCAGCCTCGTTTGTAGCAATTATTGCAGTTACTTTGGGGTCTGCTTGTGTGATGACTAGTGTGGGAATAACAAACTCCAGTTCAAGTAAGCAGCATCATGCTGCATTGGATCAAGGACCTTCCAAGTCCTTCCCCAGTGGCCAACCAGACACCTCTGGGAAGCCCACAAACAAGACATAGAGGTGCTAGTCCTCTCTGTTGTTGCTCCCCATAAACTGGTACCACATAGGCAACCCGACCAGTGCATACTCACTGAGCAATTACAGGAGTCCCAGATCTAAAATTAAGCCAAGACCTGAAGAAAAAAAAGTGCCTTATCCTGGAGAAGTGGGCCAAGGTGAAAGCAGGGGAACGGAAGCCAGTTCTGACAATTGTTAGGGTGGTCAAGAAATACTCTGAAGGAAATGAATAAGCACAAACACAGTAACTCTTGGGGCAGCTCTTCCTCTGGCTTCTCCACCCCTTCGGGCACGTACAGAGAAGTTTTGTCTAACCTTGTTCAGGTGGGGATTCCTGGTGATGTCGTAGCCCCTCTTTTTAACCACGGTGGCGTGAGCGGGCGGGGGGCAGGGTTCTCTGGCATGGCAGCCTCTCGCCTGGGGGATGCTGAAGCCCCGGGCCCCGTGTGTGGGCCGCACCAGCTGAAGAAGGGCTCTCCCGCTTCTCCCGCAGACTGGAAGCAGCAGCATCCTTCTCTGCCCGCGATGCACCTGCAGCCGGTTGAGACACACATGCCCAAGGCTGAGCCAAGAGGGGCGGCCTGCGCCCGGAGGTGGGGGAGATCTGGGGAGGGGGCTTCCCCCTTCCCAGCGCCCACGTCATCCGTCATCCTCGGTGCGCAAGGCAACGCGAGAGGAAGTGGAGCCTACGCTGACCTACCGCTCGGCTTCTCCTCGGATCAGAGCCTCGCCGGCGACTGCATCCCGCAGCCCGTTAGAGAGGCGACCCTGGCAAAGCGAAAGCAAACCCCAGGAAGCAGATCGGGTGACCGCTCGCAACCTGGAGACTGGCTGCTGCGCCACGACGCCTCCCCGCTCCCGCCCCCGCCCCCTCCACGCCCCCACCTCCGAGACGTTGGTGATGCGCGCAGCCGGAGAAGGCGCCGAGCGCAAGGCGTTGCGCGGCGCCCGGCTCGCCCGCGCCTGCAGCCGCCGCGCTAAGAGGAGGCCTCTGGGTGGGGTGCGCCGGCGTAGCTGTGCCCCCCCACCCCCGAGAAGAAAGAAACCCGCCGTGCTCGGAGAGGCGCCTGGCCAGGTCTTCTCCCCGGTCACTGCTCACTGGGCATCCATCACCTGCTGCGGCTCCTCGCTTTAGGTGGGGCACAAGCACCCAAAAGAGAGAGAGGAGCGGCATGCGTCTTCTTCTGTGCCCTCTGCCTTGGTGGGGTGGCCCTCTTTTTGGTTGACTTGCAAATGGCCACAGTACCCAAAAAGGAGGGGATTGTCTAGTCGATGTGGCCATTGCAACGTTACCGGAAAGGGGAGATGCACCCCCTTAAACTGGGACTCTGGAGATCCGGGTTCGAGTCCCCACCAGCCATGAGCTCACTGGTGACTTTGGGTCAGTCACCCACTCTCAGCCTCGCCTACCTCACAGGGTTGTTGTTAAGATTAAAATGGAGAGGAGGAGAACCTTGTAAGCCACTTTGGGTTCTTTGCAAGAGGAAGAAAAGTGGGATATAATGTAATAATATTAATAAAAATTGGCTAATTTATATATACAGGTGCACTTAATTAGAAATAATGGAGCAGACTAATGATTTAAGCTAACATTTAACCAGAAGTACAGTGCTTTTCATCAAAGAGGGAAGACCATAACCAGTTGAGATATTTTGACTGCTCTCCTAGGATTTAGGGTCAATCCAGAATATCGTGGCTTCTACTGGCTCTCTATTCTTAGGACTGGCCATCTTAAACCAGGCAGCCCATAAAAATCAGCAATAAAAATTCCTGAGTTAAAACCATAATGTACGCTGTCAAATGCCTGGGGTAAAGTTGTGAAAAAGAAACAGAAAAATTGAGTAAAAGGCCCTGCACAGTCTTTTCTTGTTTGTTTCCCCCGAAAATGGTCATATAAGCTTGCATTTTGGAATATTTTCTTTCTGAATGTTGAACAAGATGTTTCAGACAAGGTCTTTGCACATTCCCTCCCTCAAAAGGTTTTGTAAAAATGAGGTAAGATACTGTATTGTCCCTGATCATTGCAATTCTTCTGCACTGAGGACAACCAAGTCCTAGTCTGTAAATGGAGACTGCAACTTTCAAATGCAAGGACTGCTAGGCAGCACTGTCATTGCTGAAAGAACAGAAAGAAGGCTTCAATTTCATCCATGCTGGTGGGCTTCCTCTTGGTGGTTCTGTTTCTGTTCTCTCTTGACTAGGCCTCAAAGGACTGGGAGAAAGTGGAGAACAGCAGAAAGGAGATATTTATTTAAAAGGTAGCAGTTTTAAGTTATTTAAATTCAGTAACTTGAGCCATATTTTAACTGCATTAGTTCATCTACTAATTATCTGCTTTTTTGCAACCCTCTTCCTTGCACCATAGCCGAGTGGCAAGCTAAGCAGTTAAATTGTTTTTGCTTTCCCTCCCCTCAGCAAAATGGTGAGACCAACAGCTAGCATGTGGATGAAACATAGAAACAGAGTGAGTCAGAAGGGGCTCCTGGGCCATCTAGTCTGACCCCCAGCTCCAGCTGGCTCCGCTCACGACATGCCCAACATGTGCACCATGCACATGAAAATACACCATGAATATGCAAGTTTTTCTTAGGGGAAAAAAGCAGTTTGCAAATACTGTGAAATGGACTGTACATTTTCAAATACTTCTGATATGACTTAACATATCCATGTAACATGTAAGAAGTGTCCTACAGACAATAAAAAATCCTTCATGGACCTAATAAAGGAGGACCATATTGATGAAAGTGCAAGTTTTTCCCCAATGTCCTTATTCCAGACCTCCTCTTTCTGCATCTTGTATAATGCCAGCATCATCAAGAAGTGTTTCTCCATCAATGACGCACCATCTTCATGTAAGCAAATGCTGTTAACAACAACATTAAAAAAATAGAGGTATCGCTTGCAGACAAGATGAAACCTGAAGATCGGAGTAATAAATGGACCAGGCTCTCACAACAGCAATATATTTTTCTGGAGAGCTGTTGTTGAAATCTGAATGCATATTGAAATGAAGGTTTTAAATAACAAAGAGCACCATATTAGTCACACAGCAGACATGCTTTAAGCAAGTCTCCTCTAGAGTCAGAGGATGAAGATGTAAATGAATCTGCAAGGAAAAATCAATGAAGCTCAGTGTCTTACAGGAATTGGAGGTGGATGGACACATGTGAAGAGAGAAGGAATAATAAGTTTTGTGATAAAAGCACTTGTTCCAGTTTGGGGAAGTGGGTGTTCCAGAAGCATGGAAACAGGAGAGAACAGACAGTCCACAAAGTATTTCAGCTGTAAGATATGAGAATTCCTACAGAGAGTTGGAAGCAGTGAAGCATTTGCTTTGCAGTGCAAGGAATATGAAAGCAGCATGACAGACCTTCATGGATAATTATCCACATATTATTGAAACAGGAAGTGCATGTCCATGGGCTAAGCTTGCTTCTTAATGACATCATGAAACTGGACGCCATCCAAGAGATCTATAGATGAGCAAAAGAAGTTATAAAACATGTAACTGCAGTCTTTGAAAGGAAGCAAGAAGAAAAATGCAAAGAATAAAATAGTGACACTGAAGCTCTATCGTAAAACTTGATGGGGTGGAGCAGAGCTCTCCTTTGAACATTTGCTAAAAAACAAAGAAGCTCTTCATGAAATTATAGCTGAAGATCTGAAAGTACCCAAAATACTGGGTAAAGAACATCTGGGTTCAGCTTGAAGATTTTTTTCCAGAAGTCACTGAATTTAACAGTGCATTTTTATCAGAAATTCCTCACCAAATGGCCATGATAAAAACAACTATTTTTGAGTTGTATCTCCACTTACAAATGGAGTTACAACTTACAAGTGCTGAAGAAAGTAAATTGAAAGATTTTATTAAGAAACAGGAAGAATTCTGTTGCTATGATACAGCTGCAAATTCATTGACTCCAAGAGTGAAATAGAAACATAAACAAGGTTAATTCAATCTGTGATTCTGTCTGTGATTCCTCCAGCGAAGCAGCACAGCGCATTGTCTAACTTCCCGGCTTCCTGCCTGTTTCATATTCCTCCATTTTCTGCTGTTTGCAAAAGAAACTGGTCAATGGTTGGAAATAAACCAAAAAATAGAATGACTTGCGAAATTATAGGGAAGCTTGTTTCAATCTGGGAAGATGTTCAGTTTTCATGGTCCATGAAACTATGATAAAGATAAAGCTGAAAAGTCAGAACTGAAATCGATAGCAATAGCTATGGAATTTTTTCTCTCATGTCTTTTTCTGGGAATAGGTACTTTATGTCTGCTTGGCACTGTGAAGGAAAGGATTTGGGATACTAATTTTCTGTGTTTTACTAATATTGGTGTTTTCTTCTCTGTGTTTTTGTTTTGTTT